GCATTCCTTACTTTTAAAACATCTTATTTAGTAAATGCAAAAGTAGTGACCCCATTGTCTTGGTGCATGCTCAGTCATCCAGGTAAGTAAATCCCAAAAGGTTGATTCTGTTCATCTGGGCGTAGCGTTTTCAGTGGGAGAAACGTTTCGTCACGTATCCAAGTGACTTCTTCAGTCTCAGCTGACTGCAGGTTTCCCCAATCTTATACACAGTACATATGCACAAAAACTGAAACTAGCCCACTGAATGAACAATGGGCTGGGAGGTCAGTTACTTGACCATTAATATGCAAATTGTCATGGCCATTGGTCACCAACCATTGATCAAAGATCATTGATCAATGGCCATAAGTACCATTCATAGATAGTTGGGGAATGTCTGCAATCACAGCATTGTAAGATGTAAGTGACCCTATTGTGTACAGCTGCAGAGCCTTACATGGGAAAGAACCTCGGTTTGAGATCAGGAGGTGATGCAGTCCTTGCCTCAGGGTTGTCACAAGCTACTGTACTCATTTTTTTGGCCCCAAGGATGGATAAATAGGAGGGTTGTGTCAGGAAGGGCATCTGGTGCTAAATCTGTGCCAAAGCAAACATGTGGATCCCTCTGCTGTGGCAATCTCTTGAGAAATAAGGGATCAGCTTTGAGGGTATTTTTTTCTTTCTATTTGCTAGAAACAGAGTTCTAATTTTAAAACAACGCAAAAAAAAAAAAAATGCTTTTCTTCCTCAGTGTGACCAATGTTATATTTCTAATCACTAATTGTTTCCTCATTCGTTGTGCATTGCTCATTATCCTTGTTTATTAGAAGCTGTCTTGTAGGCCCCATGACAAGTAGGCCTAACAAAGAGCTTGTTTTTTATAATTTCATACTCCCAGCAGGAAAAAAAGAAATGCTTGTTATTAGTTATGGACATTTTTGATTTTTCAGAAAACAGAAAACTTCTCTGTAGTGACATTTGAGGTTGTCATGGTGTTTTGAAGGTTAGACTTCATCCCTTGTCTTATGAACGTCACAGATGAAGGCACAGACTGGAGTAAAGCCCCAGGGGATAAAGCGTGACATCAAGCATTATATCCAAAAGTTGGCCAAACTGTTTTCTCTCTCTTGCTCTTTCTCTCCTTCACACACACACACACACAAAACAGTGCATGCGGCAGAAACTTTGGACGTGACTCGAAATAGCATGTAGCTTGTACAGTGCTCAGGACAGGCTGACAGCCAATTATCAACATCTTTGTCTCCACAGAATTCCTTTTTATATACATCCTCAATTCCAGTTCTGGACTTGAAAAGGAGACCATTTTTCTAGAGAGGGATTTCCTCCAATATCTCATCTCTCGGTGTCTCTGTGTGTTTTAACAGGCAGGCAGGCACTCCCATGGGGTTACAGTCTTGCAAGCTTTCCAGCTCCTGCCTACAAAGTGAGGAGGAATGCAAACCGTCTTGTGGCTGCTGCTGTATGTGCGAGGACTGGAGATATTGCTCTGACCATTGCTGTGACATCTGCTGCCAGATGTGTATGGATGTGTGCACTGGCCTCTGTCCTGCAGACTGCAGCTATTCCTTCTGTTATCTCTGCCTTACATTTGTACAGAACTGTCTTGGTTTTTTCCAGCAAACAAACAGAAGCATAACGGAGACAGAGTAAGTATAATGGTGATAATTCAACTGTAATAATTCTTACCTGTGCATTTACTTCAGTTTCCTTAAATTTAACTTGGATGTTTTATCTGTTGTAGAACCAGTAGCAAGTCCACAACAGCATGCCAAGCGATTGTCTGACAAACCAAACGCAAAAGACTGACTTAGAGAAAAAGAAAAAGAAAAAGAAAGCTTTACAAGGTAAGTTTCAGTTAGGAATTGATAATTTATTTTTATTTGCTAGTTTTGCTAATAAGAGGGTTGTCAATGGCAATGTTAAGTGTGCTGCACTTTTTATTTGAGGTATTTTGTCTGTCTTGAAATTTTACCTACCAAGGGTCCTAGTGATTTACTATAACATAATACCCCAATCCTTATCACCACCAAAAAGAGTTGGTACACTATGTAGAAAGTAATTATTTGCAAAATGTATTTATGCCAGTAACTAATTGAAACTAGTAGTAGTCTCTGAAACAGAGACCTTTTCTTTTTAAAAGGTCTAGATCTTATTTTGAGTTTGGTGACAGCAACACATTTCCGAGAAGCTGAGACAGGGCACATATAGCACTGTGTTGCATCACCCCTTCTTTAACACTCTGTGTTTGGGAACTGAGGAGACTAATAGCCGTAGTTATTAGGCTGTTTTTCCCATCTTTGCTTGAAAAGGAGTTTCAGTTGTTCCACTGTTGAGGCCTCCTTTGTTGAATTTTTCATTTTATAATGCAGCAAAGTGTGAATTCCAAAGAGGCCACTTTAGCACTCTCTGTTTGGCATTGTTTTGCTGAGATAAGCAACAGATTCTCTGATGGAGACACTGTGTGGCAACACACACTTGCATATCGAGATTCAACAAACTGTGTTTACTGACAGAAGTGTTCCTGAGTTCATGCAGTGATTTCCACCGCAGGGTCACAGAGAGAGAGAGAGAGAGAGAGAGAGAGAGAGAGAGAGAGAGAGAGAGAGAGGTGGTGGGGGTAATAACAACAGTAACAATCAAACAGACACTTCACAAAGTATTTACATTTTTCCCAGTAAAGTCTTTTTCTTATGTCCAAAACATGACGTTTGGGTTGTAGTCCAGATTTGAGTTCATAATGAATGGCTTAGACCTCACAGGGTGAACTACAAACACTGACATGGTTCAGATCAGGTCTGTTTATAGTATGTAAGCTGTCTGTTCGTAGTCAGTCAATATTAAAGTCAGTGCCACCTGGGGGGGCACTGGGGGGGCACTGGCCACCCCCTAAAATTTGCTGGCCCCTCCATGTCTAATAAACATGGCCACAAGAGAGAGGAAAACACCCTACAATGAAACACTAATTTGTTATTTATTACTGCTTAACCCTTTAAAACTGGCCGGGGCGGGCACGCTCTTTTTTTGTAACTATTTTTAAATCCCTGTAGAACCAGAACCATTTATTTTAGTTTTTCCTGCAGTATATAAAAATTGGTGTATCTCAAAAATAAAACTATGAAGACACTCAAAATAAATTTCCTGTTGTTGGAAACTATTTTGTGCAACTTTTTTGTATTTTAGTTTTGAGGGATAAAACTAGAAATGTATGTTTAAAAAAAAAAAAACCCAAAAAAACCCACAAACAATTTTCATTTTCTTTGTAGTTTATTGCACTTTTTTGCAATTTATGTAGTTACTATGGACTTAATGCATACATATATTACAATTTGGGCTATAGCGGTTGTATTGATGTATAGCAACTTAAAATGCTCTCAGAAATGGGACTACAGCATGTAAAAATGTAAAGATAAGCTCTGGCGGTCTTGGTTCTATGGTAGGTCTTAAAGGGTTAAAATAGATTATTATGGATTTCAAAATCTTATTTGGTTTTCATATGTACCTACTTTCAGTTAACTTTAATAGCTAGAATTAACTAGGCAAATAAGTCTTTTCTCTTTCTCTCTTTTGCCATATTTTCCAAGTAACCTATATTTGACAACAGCATAATAAAAATGGAAAATTTTATTTATTTATTCCTTTTAGTTTAGTTTATGTGGTGTGCCACCCCAATACTTTTAGTGACCCAAATATGACCACTCCTATAAAAAAAAAAAATTCTGGAGGCATCACTGATTGAAACCTGAATCCTATTACAATACTAGAAGAATACTGACAATATTCTGAGTAAAACTGGTTTTAGGTTTTAATTCTGGTTGACTGAGGTTGAGGAGGTGTAGTGATTCATCCACTAATCAAGAGGCTGGCAGTTCAATTATTGTCGTGTCAGCAGAGGTGGGAAGTAACGAAGACTGTACTTAAGTACAATTTTCATGTGTCTTTGCCTGAGTAGTTATATTTCAGACAACATTTTGCTTTTACTTCCTGCGTTGAGAAAAAGGTCAGATTGAAGTCAGAATTCTGGGAAATTATAAAAAAGAAAGATGTCCCCACTTTTTTTTTCCAGTGGCCCTAATCATCTTCCGTAGAAGGAAGTATGAAAGGAGTGACGTTTTTCAGTGGCAGGTAATTTCAACATTTCTATCACCTCAAAAAATATCAGCAAACACACAAACTGTTTGTGTTTGCAGTTTGTCACACAGTGTGTTGCTAGCTAAAGGTCCAGCTGCTGTATTTCACAGGGAGACAAAAGAAAAGAGAAAAGTTCACTCCGAGATGGAGAAAAATATAAGAAAATACAGGCAGGAGAAGAAGAAGAAGAGAGGTTAGATTTAAAGGTAAGGGCAGCTCAGTGACACTTGATGAAGTGAAATTTAATTTTTAGATGTAATAATTTTTTAATCACATGTTATTTGTATATGTTGTGTTTTGATAAATTATGTATTTTCATATTGGGAAACATCCTGCAAATTAATTTAAGCTATACAAACTTTTTTGTTATTGAAATGTTGCATGAAAATACTAGGTAGTTTTGCCCCAGATAAACAAGTTAGTTTACAATAATGTGGTAAATTCACAGTAAAACATTATGCTGGACTGCTGCACAGTACCTCTGGTGCTCACTGTAAGAGGTAGGTTACATCAAGTGTGGCAGAGATTAATTTGCATTTAACTTTATATCTGGTGTAAAGACAGTATAAACAGTATAGTGTCAGTGCAGGAGATGGACATCAGTCAAGATAGCTGGACTCATTTTAGTGCTTAAGTGTGCAGGCAAAGTCACCCTCTACAACAGAAAATAGTTTTTTATTTTTTTTTCCTATCTACATAACAGATTGAAGCTTTCAGGCGAATTGGAATTTAGATTGGAATAATATTTGCAGTCTCATGTACTAATATTGTATTATATCATATTATATTATTAAGTTCAGTTACCTTTTTAAAAAAATGGTTAGTTGAATTGTCCTTCAAGGTGCTACTTTTTTCCCCAAATAAAATACAATAAAAACAGCACAGTTACTGTGTGCAGTCCCAAATTTAGTTACATATTCTCATTACAATGAGCTACTTTTTACTTTTTTACTTTGAGTACATTTCAGAGCCTGCACTTTTTTACTTTTACTTGAGTAAAAAAGTAGCTTCAGTACTACAACCTTTACTGGAGTATTTTTAAACATGGATATCTATCCTTCCACTTAAGTACAGAAAGTCTGTACTTTTGCCATCTCGGCTCTTCAAGGCCATATAAAATTGTCCTCGGGGAAGTCGAACCCTACATTACCCCGAATGCCTTCTTTCACTGTGTAAGAGATAAATAAACTGCTTGAGGTGCATAGAATAAGACTGTACAAATGGGTGAATCATGGTGTGAAAGTGCTTTGAGTGGTCAATATAAGTAGTTTTCCATTTACCAATTTAGAACAATTTTTAAAGTGGGAAGGAATGGCACGAAAGAATGGTGGGAGAGAGATCCAGGATGTGATTGAGTTGTGCTTGAGGGGAAAATTAGGCATGTAATATGATGTGAGACTGGTCTCAAACATGCAGGTTGTATGCAAAATCAAATAAGCCATTCAGTACACATGAAACAATGCATCAATTTGAATACAACAGTAATAGAGACAGTAGAGAACACTGCATGTGTGATTAGAAGAGATGCCAAGAAGCAGTATTTATGCTAAACACTCGGTCAAAAAGGATGAGCAGTGTTAAAACATAGATCATCTCTTTGGAGAAGCATTGCTATAAACTGCAAGGTAAAACTGACTCAAAGCACTGAATGTGAAGCAGATTGATATGCTGATAAAACTGCGGTGGTATGTTACCTTATTTGATAATTGAAGTCAAACATGAGCTTTTTAGCTTCCAATGGACTCTACAGTTATGCCTAATATTACTAACTTAATAACATTACACATTTCTTACAAAAGTCTATCAAACAAGAGTTGTTCCTGATCAGTATAAAGTGAGTACTTTTCCATGTTTATACTGTTTATACTTGTTAAGTACCGTAAATTCCATCTTGCCAGTAATAAAAGGCTGAGAGAATGAACGTTCTGTTAGCTTGACCCGCAGTACACCCTGCACAAAACTGAGTGGTCAGTGAAATGTTTTGTTCTTTAAATCAGATTGATTGACATGTATGTATTGAAGAGTGATGGCTTCCTTCCCCACCAGCTGTTAAACCAAGCCACAGGCTGCAGATCTGAGGCAGAAATAAGAAATGCTGAAACCTTGACAACAGGTATATATTTTATTTTTTTTAAAAAAGCATCTAGCGATTGTTTGCATATGCATTCATGTGCGGATTTGTAAGTGGTTTATGTGGGAGGGCGAATTATGGGGAATTACTTATTTTCTCAGTTAGATATTGAATAGAATCTATATAAAGGACAAATGATGTAACATAAGATAAAAGATAAAAGATAACTCTCACAAGAAGTGTTTCCTTCTTCTTATTTATTTTTTTTTGTGAACAGCAGCCCTGACAATGAGCTTAGCATTATCGCTACCATCACGTCTGAACAAAAGAGCTCTCTGAACAAAAGTGATATTTTGTTCTGAGAGCTTTCCTCCTCCTGGGTCACACCCATGTGTTATCAGAGACTGTAATTTGGACTCATGTCACCACGGGTTTTTTTTTTTGTTTTGTTTGTTTTTTTTTTCTTTTTGTTGCAGATCAGTTCATGTGGAGAGATTCATTTCTTTTGTGACAGGATGTTCGATTTACAGAGGATTTTTCTTTTTTTTTCCCAGCTTAGTCAATACAGGCTTTGAGAGTCAAACAGAATCCCTAACATCATCACAGCCTAAGTGTTGCATTTTTCACATGAGAGATAAACTGTAG